TCTCAAAGGCGTTTGATAGCTTAGACCATTGAATTCTTCTCAACCTTCAGAGCCACGGCGTTGGTGACCCCAACATGTTTTGGAGAAAAAATCTTCTGCACAAAAGTCGGTTGGAGGTGAGAGTCCGGGAATCCCTGTCCGATGCAATTGATGTGGAGTACGGTGTATCCCGAGGATCACTGTTTGGGCCTACTTAATTCTTCGTTCTCATTAACGATCTAGCGAGATCAATTGCTTCCGAATTTCCAGTTAATGCAACTGATATCAAGATATGGCGAGCGATCAGGGCACCGCATGATCAAGAATGGCTCCAGCACTATGTTAACGCAATTTCAAACTGGTCAGTTCCGGATGCCATACCCTTCGATGTACGTAAAGGTCGCGTTGTACAACTACACCATTGACGTGACTACACATATATGCTTGGGGAGCACGGATTGCACACCAGCTCCCAGGAACTTGACCCTGGCGTACCCGTACTGATTGACCTCAGCTGTGCCAAACAGTCTGCAAAAGGGGCAAGCAGCATGTCGTCCTGCTGCGAAGAGCATTCAGGTGATCTGACCTATCAATCATCCCTATGATGCGCAGTGCTTACGTGCAACCTCCCGTTAAATACGACATCTAAGCTTGGCAATCTTTGTTTTATAGAGACCTAGAGGCTTTAAGGCACTACAACGAAGGGCAACAAAGAATGTCAAGGGCCTATGCAGTCACTCTTACCAGCGAGGGCTAACGTATTTGGGGGTTTTACAGCGGACGCTACTGATCTCAAATTAGTGTACCAAATACTGAGTGAACTCAAGCACGTTAGCCCGCTATTTGCTGAAACTTAGCCACAGCACAAAGCTCAGAGGTAAATGTTAGCAACAGAGTAAGATAAGAGCCGTCTGGTGCGTCTCGTTTGCCAACCTTTGAACTCTCTCCCACAAACAGCTGTACCCTCCGGATTCCGAACATTTTCAAAACTAGTCTGATGTTGCTCTTAGCCCCAGCACTTCGTTACCTAAACCGCGCTGTTGGGAACTACATCAATCACGCCTTTGAACCGGATTTATGTGTCATTTGGATCCCAGAAGGTGGCACATAAGTGAGCGACCATATTTTTACTTTTCTCACGCTTTACATGAACGATCACTGCACCCCGTTTATTTCTGCATTTTACACTAACGTTAGTTAGCAACGCACGTTTCTCGGTACACGCTCGGCAGATGACTCACACATTTTGATTTTATTGTATTCACGCTAACCATCCTAGGTGACCTGTCAAGCTACGCCGAACCACGTAAAGCATGCATTTTCATGTCAGACCCTTCAGGAAGGGCTTCATTTGCTTCGGGTAAAAATAATTCGGTTTCAGACAAAGTTGTCACAGTCCGATGAACTGGGTGAAGAATCCCTCTCAGGCAACGTCGGGAGACTGCACAGATGGGAAAGACCATTTTTCTTGTTGAAAGATTTCAAACAGTGTACCGTGATGGGTGGCGACGTGAAATGCCTTGCTGTTCTCACAGACGTATTCCGCGTAGCACACCTAGCGAAGGTGAAGCGTCGCATGATCGCTCAGGCAAAGCGGTACATCTGTCTTTACGGTATGGATCATTAGTTCTTAGCTAGTCAGCACCGTCTCTAAGATAGATGGATCGTCATTAGTCGTGTATCTCGTGGGACAGGTGACATGGTTGTATAACGGTATATCAGTCCGCTTTTAATTGTTCGTTGAGCGGGGCTGGGATATCGATTACGTGTAGATTGAAGTCGCTATCAAAATGATTTGACTACATGCCCGTGCCAGGATTCGTTTCATAGCAGACGCCAGGTGGTGCTTATATTTCAGGGGGGATCTTGGAGGGCGGGATATACTTTCAAGCTAGCACATATCACCATGTTTCAGATGCAGAAGTACCAGAACTTTATCCCGCCTTCTTTGCGGAATCAATCGTTTCGTATGGGAATCATGTCGGGCACAAGTGATTGCATCTTGTGCAGAGCGCTTTCATTATCACGAGCAGTTCAGTTACGCGCGACCTATGTCCGGTTGCAGGTGTCATGGTTACAAGGATGTTTAGATAATATATCTGTAGGGTTATGGTCCTTGTCACTTGTGGTGCTGTACCGCGTAACTCAATATTCGGCGGGAGATTTTAGGGTCATCGGACCGTAGCATTCACCAGCCATCTTGCTAGGTTACGTTTGCACCATATGGTCACCTTTAACGGACGCCGTGTAGTCAAACGTCATCAATAGTTGGAGCAACAGGATTATTTATTTCTCCCTATTATGTGCATCGTTCTATATTCATGCTCATCATGCCTTGTTGATAAGATCTTAGGCGTATGCGGAATAGGTTCAATCTGTGCTCACTCCACAAGGCCCTTGTATCGAATTTGGTCTCTGTTGCAGCCTCTCGGCTCCCTGGTTGGGGACCGAAGGACGATGAACGCATTTGGCTGGATACACTTGTTGACATGGCCAGCAGCCGACCTCAATGGCGTTTATGTTATGCGTTTCTTTGTCCGTCTCCCTCTCGCTTAGCCTCCCTCTCCAACCACTATCTCAATTATTAGGCATAATATAACTCCTCTTTGCGGCACAATAACCGGCTACTAGCTCTCCGGAACGATATCGATCCGGCACTTGTGACTCAGCCTGTGTGCTTCTGATTCTTCTTATTTTCTTTTCTTTTGTACTGCTGCACAATAGCTGAGGTGTTTTCCACCTGCAGCTAACGTGTACAATGATAATGTTAATGCGCTTGCTTCACATGTTTTTCAGTGTAAACCTATGCCTTCTGTTCTTCAACAGACTCCCAATATGCATATTTAAATACAATGTATGTTCCCATCCTTTAGTGGTATCAACACTGGCCAATTCTAATGTGGTGTATGAACCTTTAAACTGAATGCAGACCGCATTATATCCTCTCACCGATAGTAACTCAGATCGGATTAAAGTTCTAAAAATCTGTGCATCATAGCTGTTGACAAAAAATTAGTACCTATACAGAGCTGTAAGTAGAATGTCTTCAAAAGGCTATCGGCGTACAACTGCATGACCCGGAATACTGATGGGACGACATGCTGTTTAACTACGTCCTCGTGGGCATAAAATTTACGGAGATAGTTGAACTTCATTGATATAGCCAGCATACGATGTGAGAAAACAACCACAATGCTTTTGTTACACGGATAGTTTTCACTTTGAGAACGAACGTGCTTCCTACTGTTAGTTAGCTAAATTAGTTGGATTAAAACTGCTTTTATACGTGCTCGAGTTGAAGCCAAAGATACCAGTTAATTTCCCACCCTTCTAAGAGGTTAGCGAAATGTCACAGTTAACAAGAAATGGAGACGAGTACATCTCTTCAGGATGATGCATGAAGCAGTATACGGTCGTGCCTTTCGGCGCGCCTAACTCCAGTTTAAATACGAAGGCCACCAGTCTTGAGCAGCAAGCACATAAACATCCTTAGGATTAACCATAAGAAAAAAGTGCACTGTCGCTTTGCTGCTTTATAGAAGCCTCTTGTATGATCACTCTGAATTACTTCCAATGTTTGTTCACTTGTCCGACGCACAGAAGTTAGTGATGTAGCCGACATCTGTAGTGGTTTTATGGCACAGCTGCTCTCAAAATGTTATTAAGACCAAAATTGCTTTACTCATATTATATATATATACGCCATAATATTATTCAACAGTTTATTCATCTCTGTCTTTTTAACATGGCCCGTTCGCTTGGTAATGGTAATGAAGATAATGTGTACTGTAAACACTGTTGTGCATCAAGGGGATTGCGTTTCGTTTTCAGGTCGCTTAGCAGGAAACTATTTGCTCAAATTTTGGTTGGCAAAATGGTTATGCATTATGCTGACTCCCAGTAGTCGTGGCCGCTTGGTTCAAATTATACATTATATATAGTGCTGGTTGTACTGTCCTTAACATGTACAATCATCCTAACGTCAGTTAGATGAAGTTTCAGTTCGGTATACTAAGGCACAACAGTAAAAGGGAAGATGCGACGGATCGAAACGGAGAGGGTATTGTCGACTGTTTCCCACGATACGTTGACATTTTAGCAAGAATGTAGCTAAATTTACATTTAGCCGGAGAAGTCAAACCAAGTTTTATACTCAATGGCAATCAGGGAATGTCCTTTGGCATTAATGAACACTTTGATTAGGGCTGCTTTCACACCTTTCAAGCTGAACACGCATCGCGATCTCACACCCCTAGTCGCTTCGCGGTTATCGCTTAGAGTTATCGAGCGCTGGAACTCGCTTCCAGAAAGTGTAGTCAGTGAACCTACGATTAAGGGTTTCGAGCGTCAGTTAGACGCTCTTGGGTGGCAACACGAAACCTTTCCATCTTCACTTAGTTCTTATTCTGTCATTCTCTTCACTCTTTGGTGTTATCCTTCATTTTAATGACTTTCATTCCCCTTTATCTGCCATTTACTTCCTACTTCTCTCTTACTTCACGTAACCTACACAGCGCGGACTGCTAGTGCAGGGAACGTGGGCAGTAATTGGTTGATCAGGGTGTGTTTCGGGTGTTTCGTTTTAGATCTATCAAGAACCAGAACTTTATCATTTCCTGGCTCAACGATTTGCTCAAGAAGGTACACTCAAGGGATTTTCCTATTGTTCCAGTCCATCTGAATCTGAATCCTACTGAAATAACTGTTGATCAGGTGTTAAGCTGGCCTAGAGTTGCTTATTGATTTCAACTGCAAACATGTAAGACCTTACCACTTATTTCACCTGATGAATACTAAATGACTTCAGCAAAGTTATCCTGAATCTAATTTTGTCTATCGCCAAACATAGACTGCAAATCTTTAGGCTACGTCTACAATATCATTGACACTGCTGTCGTAACCGCGGCAGTCATCGACCTGCGCTTACTCGTTGGGTGGGAGAGGATCCTGCCTGCCCAGCACGCAGTCGTGCGCTGCGCTGGGCAGTACGCGCGCTACCAGCTGCGTCAGCTTCGGTAATCGATGATTGCCAGTGCACGCACGTGTGCCCGCAGCGTGCGCTGAATCACAACACAACCAGTGGAACCGGGGTCAGTAGTTGTGTCGTTCAAGTGGACAGACAGGCGGGTCCGACGACCAGGGGATTGATGAAAAATGTTCGCTTATGCGTACGCCAGGAACAGTCGGGCCATCCCTTCAAAATGAATAGCTTGGATGGTGTGGCGTTGTGTTGTTCACTTTTCCCAGTGCAGTTATGCGACATTTTGCTGGCTTGTGTTTTCTAAATGGCACGGTGTGGTAACTTTACAGTACTGTACTGTACTGTAGTTCATAAAATTCCCTAAAGAACAACTTTAATTGTTTTCAAATTCATCACCAGCTACCCAGCAGATCAAGCCAGCTTTCGTCAGTAACTACGCGAACAGCGCTTTCGTTTCGCCCGCAAAAACCCCATGTCTTCCGGTAGTAGTCTTTTCCGTCGCTCCTCCGTCCCGACCACCAAAGCATCTGAGTCAGATGAATCACACGACGTACAACCATCTACGCCGCATCCGAATACAAGTATTACCAATCCACTTGGCCTTGGTGGAAAGGCCAAAAGAGAATGCTTTGTCTTTGAACCGCAACAGTGGAGGAGAACTGTGTGCAAAAACTGCTTCCGGACTCAACCAGAACACAAACAGACCTCCGGAAAGGAAGAGATTCCCGGGGGCCCGACAGTTATCTTACGGCGGGCAGACAGCTTTGGTCAGGCTACAACCACATCTTCAACGACATCAACTACTGGACAGGTGGGCACGGATTCCAGTGATGGCTTACTGCATGAATACAAGACTGTTCGGGACAATGGACGCAGTTCTGCCACCACACTGAGTGGAACTGCCGCAAGAGCAGCGGCAAGAAAAGTTGCTGTTGGACAAAAGTAAGTCAAGAAGAGAATAGGCCTCTTACCATACTGCCGCATCACAGTCTGTCGCATGAACCTCAAAGATTGCTTTGAGATATTTGCTTTGAGATATGGACACAGTACAGTTACCTGGATTTATTGTGACCGTTAGCCACTTCGCCCCATACGATTCAGAAGAAACCTGGGGATGGTAAAAATTTAATTTTCATGCCAAAATCTAACCGATACGGTTGTATCGACACGATGAAATTCCGCCTTATATTGCAACATACACGCATTCAAAAGCCGAAATTCATTTTCTCGTCAGACCAAAGGGGTCCATGATACATTATTAGCAAATTTTACTGATATCCAAACAAATTAGTGGGAATTTGCCGTAACTGGATAATTCAACTTCCTGTGGACCATATTGTTACTTCACTAAATGTGGCACTACCACTAACTTGCTTGAGTTGCGCTTGCATAGTTAAAATGGCACAGTTTGTGTATGAAGAACTGAAGCTGACATGCACAACACCTAAATACACGTTTAAGGTGAGCAAAACGCCGCGGGGACTACGTTTGCAGTGCTTCGAACACGTATAGGTGATTCTCTATTAGACAGGGTGACTCGTCATTAAAGTAAATATGGCTTCCACACTTCCCTCACTTCGAGCCTAGGGCTCAGACGGTGTCAAAGTGGCCTCAACTCTGGCAGCCGCAGAAGACACAAGTATAGAGCAAACGAATAAAACCATGAGCTCACCATATCACCTTCTCAAGTGCAAGTTAACGTTTTCCGCTCGGATCCTTAAGCAGTTCCTTCTTTCCAGTAAGCATATGCATATTACACACCAAACTTGTAAGCTTGGCTGTTTCTAGATTTTTGTTTTTGGCTCTGTTTGTCTATATGTCAAGGTTGGTTAACAGCAGTCTACTTTATCGAGTAGTAAGAACGAAGGCGATACTTGCTATTGAGGCAAGAATTATTTGCAAAAGTGACATTCGGCTTAAATGATTTGTCGTTTGTCAACGAACTACAACAAAATTTATACTTATCTTAGCCTATAATCTCTAATGTTTCAAAACTAACGTGCCTTAACTCGTTTTCATTTTATGATTCCCACTACACCAAACAGGGTACAAAAATGCATCGTCGCTTGAATAGGATATGTAAATGTTCCTAACCATTCATATGTTGCTGCTCCCAAAACAGCATTAATATTAGATGATTTCTCAGAGATACGTACTCCATGTTGCCTGCATGAAAGCTGATACGACAATCGCAGCCATACTAGCAGACTCAGCACGTAAACCCCTACTCTGGCCTTTAGGTTTTCGTATAGGACCGACTACTGAGTTATGAATTCTTCTGTTTGCCATGTGGGCTTCCATTAAGTTGGAGTTCAGTGCAAATCAGAGTTGAATTACTGTACTGTATGAGTTTGTTATCGTAACTCCGCTTTGCGTCCACAGAAGCTCAGATGAATACCGAACCCTACAAACCACTTACCCGGATTCACGTCGCTGTCCGACAAATAACAGTGCTGGTACACAAGTTACTGGCGGTGTATATTCCTCAGCATCAAGTATAGACGCTCGTTATATTGAAGAGCTGGAGAATGACTTCTTTGCTCTTGAGGACAAACATGAAGCGACATTAAGAGAACGGGACGAATTGGTGACGGAACTAGAAGCAAAGATACGCAGTATCTCTGATTTACATGCCACATTGGAGCAGTATAGGGAGAAAGTGAATCATCTCGAAAGACGCTGCCTCCACTTGGAAGAAGAAATCAAAGGCTACCGGTGAGTTGCAGCTTCAAAGTAGAGAGTTTGTAACAATTCATACGTCACACAGCTTCTCCTACCTTGACTCCCAGTAAAACTGGAACATTGGACTTAAGCTCTGTTTTCCTTGATGCGTCAGTCAAGTTTTCCCGTTATACTTACCTAGCAACTACTGCCAATGAAAAGTGGCAGCTGCAATACATACTCTAGTGGCAACACACTAAGAGAATCTGAATATTTTACTGCACGTCCTAGTGTTCACAGCGCGTCTCGTATTTATACCATTTAGTGAGCGCCTGCGGTTACCAGAAAGTGACCAAAGCCCAACCTCCCCTGAGAGGATAGTTTCGGAGCGGCGAAGTGATAGCCCCAAATCTGCATCATCCCACGTGGAAGCAGCGTGCAGTAGCGAACTACAGCAGCGTCTAAACGAGGTGGAGCAGCTTTGTCAAGAAGTGATGGAAGAGAATGAGCAACTCAAAGAAGAGGTCGAGGAAATGCAACGTGAGATTGAAGAAATGCATGATCACTTTCAGGTGAGTCCACTCTACTGCTGCCCAATATAGGCTTAGCATCTTTCGCGTGTGGCACGGGATTCAGTATTGTGCATTCTTTTCCTCAGTCAAACAGTACAGTCGGCCCCCTAAACTCGCTGCTCAGATATAAAGTCAACTAGCTGTATGACATGTGGCGTCACGCTTCTAAGATATGAAGACAAGTAATCACAAATTTACAGCTATTTGAATCTTCTCATGGTTGAATTGAGAGCTGTCCGCAAAGCGATTGGGCACTGAGTGCGTTTTATTGACCGTTGTGTTTTCCCCATCAGTTTCGTCTTTCCGCATATCAATGTACAAGCCGGACAAAGAATTATTGCAACCACATTTTCGCTTGCACTGACTTTAATTCGTTCAATTGGACATTTTACTACCATGAAAGCAACGGGAGTTGCAAAATCCATAAACGTTTAGTCTGTCGTAGCATTGTGTAGTGTCTGGATGTCAATATCTTGGACAGTTCCTTGCCGTAAACACAAATATATTTTTCGTTTACTTAAGCTGAAATGCACGCGGCCAACATAAAGCCGTGATGTACTGCGACAGATTCACCGCAATTCTGAAGTTTCAAGTAGACGTTTCATCCTACTTGAACTGATTAGTTGTGCACAGGACTCAAAGCTATGGCTTCCCTTATACCATGGTGACACTGTTCCTCTGGCGGAGTCTTTACATAGGCCGGTGCATTTTCATTGGACATCATTTTTACTTTGTTTATTGAGGATGTATGCATTTTGGAGGAAGACTGACAAATTGTTTTGCTCACAGTATTTCAAGGGTCACCAAGACCATCTTGCTCTCCATATCTTAATACCAAATTGAGATGCCGCGCATATTTTACATTTTGTTTCTTTGGTCACGAACGTTTAGATCAGTTCAAACTAATTCTGAAGAAATGTTTTTTCAACCTCTACTCTGCCGGCTGGAAAAAAATACTTGGGATTCTGTTTGTCAGTTTGCGCTCAATGTTCAAGAATGCTGGTTCTTTTACTCGATTATAACATTACACCAATTTCCCCTTATTATTCGTTTATAAACTGATGCATTTTTGAAGATCTCTTGTTACTTAATCCGCGGTTGATACTATTAAGTGCTGAAAATGCACCCATTGGGGTACATAAAGCTCACATTGACTTGATTTGACCTCAGGCCGTAGAGCCATAGGTGACAATCCGTAGCCATAACATTTGTTATATAGTCTCAATGCATCTGGGTTCACTGACCTAATTTGCTGCCTTGTGATAGGACAGCGGCAAGATAAAATCACTTCGTATTCAGGAGAGCTGGGCGGTACTAGCGGTCGCATTCGTTCGAAACGCCGTCGGGCATGCTCCCAAATGTGTGCAGGCTGTCTGCGAGTCTATATGCGACAACACTCCGTGGCGGATCTGTACGCTATCGGGCGCGTCCCCAGGTTGCGGATCGGGGAATGCCTTCCTTGTGCAGATAACTGCGAATAAGTCACAGTTGCCTTGCAGGCGAGATGAAGAAGCAGTTGCCGACAATCAGCAGCAGCGTCTCAGAACTTGGGGAGTTCTGGGCTGGTCACCTAGTTCTCGATTAACTACCACAAGTGCTCGTATGGCGCTGTGTCAAAGCCCATGTGACCGGCTATAGGGTCACTGACCACTCACTCTTGTAACTGGGGGTGAGTATCTAACGGAGGGCGGATGAACAACTTCGCTGGCCGCCGGCTTCTCTGTGGACCGCTTCCTAACACAAATAAAGCGAATGAGCCACTTACCTGTCAACAGTCTCCGTTAATCTTCCCGCTGCCTTGCGGGTCAGGTCTTTAGACAGAATACTCGGAGTGGTGTCCCTTAAGTCAACACTCTTCCTCGGCCTGGGCAACCGGGAAGCTCAATGACCACACAACACATAGAACTTTACTTCCATTCCTCCTGCTCACTCACTCTTGTTGTTATTATTACTCATGTGTTGTGGCACTCTGCCAAATATTTATCTGGAAAGTGTTACATATATATGTATATATATATATATATATTTATCTATTTATTTCAAAAGTCCACTTACTTGTTTACAATGCAACAAACTAACAAGAATAGGATTTAACAACGCTGAAAACTGTCCACCCTGGTCATTGATAGGAAGAAGTGAACTGCATCCAACCGTACTAATGACTTGTCGAACTTGTACCATTGAGTTATTTCTACAGTCGCCTCTAAATATCCGTACACCGTACGGTGGGCTTCATCCATACTTGTTCCCGAGTCCTATAGGTTCAATGCTATGAGACGTCGTCCAATAAATTGCAGTATCGACAGAAAACGGCGTCCCGGTCATCGTGACCGAAAGGGACATAAGTATCTTTAAAACTTTTGTTATTTCTCGTTATTGACTGATAACCTTAGTGTCATCATGAGTCACTTCATATGCCACAATTTTCAACAGTTGGAATGTTCAAGTGCAATCCGTATGTGATATTTATAGACACTTCGACACGGTTAACTCACAACCAGATAGTCTACTTACATCCGGAAATGTACTAGATGAATTTTTTGTCTAGTTTGGGCACGTCGGTAGTGTGCATTACGTGGATACAGCAGAAATTAGGAAGACCGCATTACATGAATCTAAATACTACCAACTAAGTATGGCACCAAAATTCCACACTTATAGGCACTTCCTAAGTACTTACCTACAACAGCTCTATCATTTTGCTTCAGGAGGATGACCGGGACGCAGTTCGCGAGCTCCAGCGTGACTTAGAAGCTGCAAATAAGACTTGCCGAATTCTTCAGTTCAAACTTCGTAAAGCAGAACGACGATTTGATCAGTGTGAAGCCGAAAGGGCAAATTTGGAGGAGCGTCTCGCTCGGCTGGAGGCCGAACTGTACAGTGAAGCAGATGTCGCGCATATAAGGAATCTGGAGGTAACGTTTCAACACCAGTCATTCGTTTCGATGAGTTTGCCTAAAAGTGAGCAAATGATTGTTTTGCCTTCTTAGGAAGAAGTTCGAGTCGCCAAAGAAGTTAGTATGCGGTTAAACAACGAACTGGATATGATGGATGAGAAACGGACTTTCTACGAGGAAGAAAATCGACAACTTAAAGAGGAGCTTCAGGCTTGCCACAATCGCCGCATTACGGTTGAGAACGAATTAGGCCGTCTCAGGTTGGAAGTGAGTCACCAGTACGGAAACCTAAATTGGGAAAGTGAGGACAATCCATGCAAAATAGACACAACCCTACCTCAAGGAAAAAGTCTGCTGTTAGGGCAGAAAGTGTACCAGCACTGGGTAGTATTGCGGAAAAATTTGAGATACATAATATTGGTATACATGATAACAAAAAAGAACACTGGTCTTGTCACGCTTTTTAGGAGACACGGCTGTAGATGCATGAGCAAGGAAGTACATCGGTATCAGGACGATCCTACTTCGATCGAAAATTAGTTGGAAAATATAAAGCTGGTACATAAACTTCCAGAAATTTAGGGAGTAACTGTGTACCAAAATAGGATGCAGAAATATCGCATTCTAAACGTAGCTATTGGCGTCACTGGGCAGCGACGGAAGCGTTTAGACTAAAGCACTGATCTTATTTCTTGAAAGAATGATAATTGATCTGGAAAGGAAGGACAACGACCGTTTAATCATTTCGAAAAGATTTTTGTCTCTGAAATAACTCCAAGGGGTTACATGAACTACAGTTATCAAATATGTCAAATATTTTGGTTGGAAGAGATTTTTGATTGTTTGTGGATATAACGCACCGCAAAGATTACCCCGGGATTGGTAGCTACTAAATGGTATCCAGTGCAGGTGAGCATATAACTTGTTTAAAATTTGCACGCTAATCTTCCTGATTTCAAACATGAGAGGGGCTTAGTGGATACGAAGGTGAAGATTACGCAATAGTTCGTGCGGATTCATTATGGACAAGTAGAACAAAGTATAAAATGAAAATTATATGTGCATTTTTGCACACTCTGCTGATTATATTTGGCTTCTGTGTAACGACATCTGCTCTGACAGGGTCACATAAAATGCTTGCGTTTGTTAAACTTCGTTTTCTCATTGTATTAGCAATCAGGTACACGAAAATAATTATTTTGAACCGCAAAAAATGTCCGATAAATTGTATAGCTGACTCTAGAAAAAGCAAATATATTGGTTAATTGAATAACACATCAGAAGTGGAAGCAAATGCATAAAGAAAAATGATGGAAAATACGAGAGCTTGTTTGACAAACATGCAGTTTAAAGATACGGACAGTCTGAGGAAAACTGAGATGCCATTTAACTGCCGCTTCCCTACGTGCACATATAATCGTGCACCATGGGTAATGCTAATATAGTAGTAAATACTGTTAGTACAAAGGTCATGAATTATGAGGTTAGCAGTCAGCGAGGTAGAATACGGATCTCCCATAAGTATGTGCCTATGGAAGGGAGCATGCTGCGGAGCTAGGTCGCGATGAGCGTAGTCACTGAAGTGATGCGACGGATTGCGTACCTTCGCGATCTGTTGAGCTATGTGAGATGGTGACATCGAATCCTCCGAAGGCAGTTCTCAACAGATACCACGATGGTTAGAGGTCGGAAAAATTCAGTCCCTTGGCCCTCACTATTAAGTGTTAAAGCTGGAGTGGCAACTATCTTCGTAAAACTGGACTTACTTACTTTGTTCAGACCTCAGAACAAAGGGTTTGGTTGGAGACGTCAATCGGTTTACGGTCATGACTTTGAAGCTACAGGGGTGTCCAACGAAAATAATAGCTTAAAGGTCACGCTGCGTCTCGTAGCGGACTTCATACAGCTTCAAATGTGTCACATTATTTGTTGCACGTAACGCGGGCGTAGAGGAAAACAGATCGCTGTTATTGTTTGCATTTCTTCATAACCGCCATTTTATTTTCTCTTGTTCATCGACTTTCATTACTACTCATCTCCAATCCCAGAAACACTTGACAGAATCTGCAATACCAGTGACGTTTAGTAGTACACAGCTACCCACTTACATTAGTTACTAAAATCTATCAATAGCCCACTTTCAGTCTACACTGCTCTGTTTCTCTGATAGTGTCCAACGTTCCTTCCATGGGTTCCAACTGCAAACACGCTGACACTTCAGAGTATTGACGTGCGCAACTTGTCGGATGGGAGGACGAATGACCTTCACGTCGTCGTTGAACTTACCGCACTAGGCTAATCCTCTCGCTATCAGTCCAAGGAACTTATTCGTCAGCGAAACCTTCATGTGCCCCATTGACGCTGTATTCCATATCCGGAAACACCATCAGCTTCTTTTGCGGGGGATTTGGGAGCATTATAAATTGCCCCCCCCCTCCTAGAGTTCTTCTCTGGTATATTGAATCATGTCCGGTTTGTTAAGAGACCTTCTCAGAGTCTGAGGTTTGAAATGCTATCACAGCCGTCAGTCGTTTACGAGCGAGGATGAAATCCTCACACCGGTTTGGACAGGAATGAAATAAATAAACTATTCCAGCCAAATGGGGCGAATTCATTACTGTTGCGTCGTCTGTGCTAACCACATGGTTGCCAGCATTTCGCCGGTAGCAAAATGTTAATAGCCTTGACACTCATCCGTCTGCTCAATGCGGAATGGGAATTGTAGACATGGAAAGGCAAACCAGTCTTCATCTCGAACGCCGCTTTATGGGACAGCCATTCACCTACGAGAGGTTCATGAACAACATCACATGCACAGCACACCGACTGCAGCTGCGCTCCTCAACTTAAAGGGCGAGTTTGACTAGGTTGGTAGCTCCGGTCCGTGTAGTAAACAGGATGAAAGGTGTCTGTGTGTAAGCTGCAAAAACTTTCTTATCATGCATTAGGACATCGTATTTTGCGTTCTGTTTTCTTGGTCTTGTGCAACGCCATCAAGAATTTCATTTATAATTTTCCACTGCGTAATCTCACGTTATTAGTGCTGATGTGATATTTGATGGAAATTGTCAGACCTAGGTTGTGCGGACGATGTCCTCTTGCTGTTTGACAATCACGAGGCTGCTCAGTCAAACTATCATGAACTTTCACAGTTGCCCTACTAGTTGCTGTGCACTTCGCAGCTTCTAAATGAAAGGTGGTTCACAACATCATCAGCCAATGGATAACCATCGAATGCTTGATCAAAATGGACCAGAGACATTTGATCAATTCATCTATATAGACAGCTGTACTAGCAGTATTAGACGTGTAAATGCTGTAGATAATTTACATACGGTATGAGAAAGCACATTCATGAATCTGTTGCACCTATGACACCAGTAGGGCATCTCCTTCGGTCAATCTTCAGTACCGAGCACGCTTGGCGCAAAGCAGCTTTCACCGCCAACTCCAATGGTGTCCTCTAAACAACGCGAATTGCCAGCAAAAAGTATAAAGCCAACACTCACTAGACAAAACCACGCTGCGTTAACCCTCGTGTGCACCAATGTTCCCGAATCCAAATCTGGAACAATAAAAGGTAAATTGCAAGACGATCGCAACCAGTGGAGTTTCATCTGCGAGGCAATTAACATTCGGGTTGAGCCTGCAATGCTGCAACGCGTAGCGCGTCACCCCACCTCAGTGCACTCTGGTGAACCTCGAATTCTTCGAGTAACACTAAACTCAGCAGATGAGACAGAGGCTGTACTGCTCTCAGCAGTTCGTCTTCGCAACTCACCGAGCGGAGTACGCATCTTGCCTGATCTACCTTGGAAAGATCGCGCAAAAGAAGCAGTGGAGCAACACGGTATTGCTAATAGAGATAGCAAGAGAACCATATTTGTTCATGGAGTTCCCGAGCTTCTACATTCTTCTGATCACGATGCACAAACTCATGACCGAGAGCAGTGGTGCTACATCCGTGAAGCACTCTCTGTAGACAATGTTATTGCCAAATCCCTGACAAGAGTGCCGTCATCACCTAACTACAAGGGCTGCGGTCCAAGGCTAATTAAAGTAACACTACACTCCGAGGGAATGACGCAAGTTCTGTTAGATAGCTGGTTAAAGTTACGATCTAGGCTGCCAACAGAGATCCGGCTAAAAGCAGCAGGTGTACGATCAAAAGTCGGAAGCAATTCAACGGAACTTGCAAACGCAGCAAATTCCTTATCTGCACAGTCCTGCGGAGAGACCAACACAACTGCGCCCACGGCACACAGGAGGACCGAGCACAGCACCAGTGAAACTTCTGTTCAGGAACGCTTAATAATGCCATACAACACGACTGAAATACCTAAACCAAAAAACGATTAATTGCCGGCCACCTAACGGCCGGCTTAAAAGCGAACACAAACTTGACATCTATCAATGAACTCCTAACAACAAAAGCCCTATCTTGCATGTATACAAACGCTCAAGGCCTTCTAAGCAAGCTGGCAGAACTTAGAGAACTCCATGCCTCACAACCGCGGGACCTCGTCATGATTACAGAGACATGGTTAAACCCTGAGATAACCGACTCTGAGATCAATTTATCCGGTATGTCACTGCTTCGGACCGATAGAACCGGAAGGGGAGGCGGTGTGATTCTTTATTACAATACAAACCTCCGATGTGAAGTTATCGACCACCCAGAAATCAGAGCACCCGATTCGCTTTGGTGCCGCCTATGGTTGCGAAACAAGGGCACATGTCTACTAGCCGTGATTTACCGCCCGCCAAACTCAACTTCGGAAATGGACTCCAAACTGAACCACGTTTTCCAGTTTGCTTTAAACAAGTCCTACACCCACATTCTTATCGCTGGAGACTTTAACGTGCATGACATAGAAAAGCCGGCAACCGATGGTATGCAGTTTAAAGCCCGCTTGCAAGAGCTTATTGCTAGCCACCCTCTTTACAACCACGTAACCTCTCCCACTAGATTTCGAACTGCTAACAAGCCGTCGATACTGGATCTTGTGCTCACTAACGAAGAACTCATGGTTGACGGGATAGTTACAAGCACACCACTGGGTCGTAGTGATCATGTTACTCTACTCTTTGACTATATTTGCTATGCGGAGTACCCTGAAAAGGAAGAGGATAAAGTGCATACAGTCACACACTACAATGTGTTGTCTAAGCTTATTAAGGATACATCCTGGACTTTCTTAACCGAATGCCCCCCAGATGTTGCCTGGGAAACATTTACAAGGACGTTTAGTACACTGGTAGCGCAC